GGGGGATGAGTGGAAGACCGCCTTTAACACGCCCTCTGGTCATGGTATTTGGTCATGGTATTTGGTCATGCCTTTTGGATTAACCAATGTACCAGCCGTGTTCCAAGGGCTGATTAACGACGTCCTTGTTAAACAAGTTTTGTCTTCGTGTATCTGGATAAGATTTTGGTGTTCATTTCCCAGTCTGAACAGGATCACGTTGTACATGTGCGTGAGGTCCTCCAACACTTATTAGTTAATAAGCTGTTTGTCAAGGTGAAGAAGTGTGAGTTTCACCAGCAATCGATCTCCTTCCTGAGGTTCATTCTTGGGGAGGGTTCAATTAGGATGGATCCAGAGAAGATTCGAGCAGTCGCAGAGTGGCCTCGGCCTCGCAACTGGAAGGAGGTACAACGTTTTTTGGGATTCGCTAATTTTTACAGGCGTTTTATACAAGGATATAGCACCGTTGTGGCCCCTCTCACGGCACTCACCTCTACCAAGGTCCACTTCCAGTGGTCCCCAGTGGCCGAGCAGGTGTTCCTGGCTCTTCGCAGAAGCTTCACCTATTCTTCAAATCTCCGATCCCTCTCGACAGTTTGTGGTGGAGGTGGACGCTTCCAGCACTGGGGTAGGGGCTATTCTATCCCAGCGACACGCGACAGACAATAAGTTGCATCCTTGTGTTTTCTTTTCCCATGAGTTAACCCCAGGCGAAAGGAACTACAACATTGGTAATCGAGAACTGCTGACAGTCCGTCTGGCCTTGGAGGAGTGGAGGCAATGGCACGAGGGCACTAAGGACCCATTCCTGATCCTCACAGACCACAAGAATCAGGAATATTTACAGCCGGCAAAGCGATTGTTGTATTTGCTGGCGGGCGAGCAGGGAAGCAGGTGAATCAAGACGGTAAGATGGGCAAACGGGGTTTATTAGGCAATCGATAGGACAGCAGCAGACGAACATCAAGACACGACAATGACGGATCTGACGAGACGTACTCAGACGCAGACTAAATACACAAGACTAGCCAGAAATAACAGGACACAGGTGATCACAACCAGGAATTGACACGAGGTAATGAGGGGGCGTGGCACACACAAGGATCGTACGGAGCTGGGCGTGACAGCGACTCAATGCACGCCAGGCTAGGTGGTCACTATTTTTTAATCGTTTCAAATTTTCTTATCTCCTTTGGACCAGGCTCCAAGAACCGCAAACCTGACACCCTGTCGCAGCTGTTAGGATTGGAGGGCTCTAAAGAGAGAAACTCTGGAGAGAAAAATTGGATCCGGTCCTTGGTGTGTATGTTGATGCTTCCATGTCTCATTCTCGCCAGTGCGGGGAAGCAATAAAAAAGGCCAACAGGATGTTGGGGTATATCTCCAGGTGTGTGGAGTTTAAGTCAAGGGAGGTAATGCTAAGATTATACAATTCCTTGGTGAGACCTCACCTAGAATATTGTGTACAGGTTTGGTCACCATATCTTAAAAAGGACATAGCAGCCTTAGAAAAGGTGCAGCGTAGGGCCACAAGAATGATTCCTGGTCTTAGAGGAATGTCATACGAGGAAAGGTTATTTGAGCTAAATCTGTTCAGCCTCAAGCAAAGGAGACTGAGGGGGGACATGATCCAGGTCTATAAGATTCTAACAGGTTTGGATGCTGTTCAACCAAATAGTTACTTCAGCATTAGTTCAAATACAAGAACTCGTGGCTATAGGTGGAAATTAGCGGGAGAACATTTCAAACTGGATTTAAGGAAGCACTTCTTTACACAGCGTGTAGTCAGAGTATGGAATAGTCTTCCTGATAACGTAATGCAAGCTGAATCCTTGGGTTCCTTTAAATCAGAGCTAGATAAGATTTTAACAACTCTGAGCTATTAGTTAAGTTCTCCCCAAGCGAGCTCGATAGGCCGAATGGCCTCCTCTTGTTTGTATAGTTCTTATGTTCTTATGTTCTTAAGGGTACCTAATAAAGTGACTAACACTCAATGAATGTTAGAATGTTTGTACTTATTTGTGAGGAAGGAATTTTTTTTTAATTTGCTTCTATTGTTCTATTAAGTGGTTAAGATTTCATAGTATTGTTTCTGTTAGGGAAGTGTCCATTATATAATTTAGCTAGTATTATCCTACTTTTACTGTGCTCGTTCTTACTAATTTACTCATTCAAGGCGAGGGGAACAAATGGTACCTAACTACATGTTTTGCATGTTCTATTTGTATATTTACTCAAGAATAAAATGCTTTGTTGCTTATCTCTCTATTTTCTTTGTATTTTTAAAATTCCCTTCTTTTACTTTTGCTCATTTAATAAATCCATTCATTCATGTTGTATCATATTATGCATATCATGCTAGATGCGTGCCCTGAAAAAAACAGCATAGACCAGCAAGATCATGCAGGTTTATGCAGGTCAGTGGACTGGTGCTGGTCCAGCACCAAAGCACAACATATGCTAAGCATGCCTTATCCAGCTATACTGCTCTGTGCTGATTTTTGTCAGCAGGGTGACAGTTGGTAAACCTGATTTTTTTCATGACTTTTGTCTGAGCCCCCTTGTACTTTTGAGGCCCAAAGTAACTGCTGAATTTGTTTACACCTGGATCTGACCCTGCCTCTAAATATATTTTGTTAAACCATCTTATAATTTTACCTTTATATTGACAAGTAACAACTGTAATAACAACTGGACCTTCTCATTCTAAGACAACTTTCCTTGACAATTAATTTTTTCATAATATATTCTTAAATAAATTAACTTTGAAACTGTGGTCGCTGTTATTCTGTTAGTTATAAACGTAAAATATAACTTGACTGATGTCGCAAATTCTGGAACTTCACACGATTCCAAAATGTAAAAATAATATAAAAATATATACACTGCACAAAAAACTTAAAGGAACACTTTTTAATCAGAGTATAGCATCAAGTCAATTTAACTTCTGGGATATTGATCTAGTCCGTTAAGTAGCAATGGGGGTTGTTAATCGGTTTCAGCTGCTTTGGTGTTAAAGAAGTTAACAACAGGTGCACTAGAGGGGCAACAATGAGACGACCCCCAAAACAGGAATGGTTTAACAGGTGGAG